TCTCGGGGACCCCCACCCCCCCCCCACCCCATCCGTTACCTTCCCAAGCGCAGCCGGCAGTGGGAAGTTGATGGTCTGCCGGTGGCGCAGGATGCGGAGAATCCCATCCAGGTAGACCTGGTCCTTACTGAAACAGCCTGGAAGAGTGGGAGAGGCCGAGAAGTGGGAGCCCGGTTTCCCACTGCCCTGTTTCCCTGAACGTCTGCCGACCGCAGTAAATGGAGTGATGGTGCTGGACTGGGGTGACTCGAGTGCGCCAGGGCTCAGGTGCTGCTGGTGCCACGGCCGGTGTCCAAAGGACAAGCAAAACCTGCACTGGGGGCCCCGGGAGGGGATGACAAACCTCTGCCCTGGATGGTTTTACCCTTCCAGCTGGTGAAGTTTTGGGTTTTATTGGGCTTTTGGTTTGTTTTTTAACATTAAACCCCTTCAAGAATCTAACTAATCCCCAGAAAGGCTCAATTTTCCCCTCTCCTTTGGCTGCTGCCTCCCCGGGAGCTTGTGCGAGTCTCTCCCATCAGACTGCAAGCCCCTTACAGGGCTCCCTGGGGGGGCCCATCCATCCCCACCCGCCCCTGAGCAGCCGAAGAGCCGAGGTGCCAGGACTGCACAATGCAGATCGCTGCCGTAAGCAGCGTAAACCTTTAGGAGAGCAATGCCGGGGACAGAGAGGGATGCGGGAAGGGGCAGAGCCACTCTTTGGAAGGCTCCCATGGCCCCAGGGCCAGTGATACTCAGCCTACCCAGCAGCAAAACACATTCCCCTGCCTCTGCCTTTTTGATATTAAAAAAAAGCCCTTCCCAAACCCAAAGACTTCCCCCACCCCAAGCGGTACCTGGCTGCGAGGTGTCAGTCTGGCCTCGCTTCGCCCGCACGCAGTACTCCCACCGGACGCCGGCATCCTGGACATACTGCTCCAGGTCCTGGAAGAGGGCGGAGAAGGAGAGGCGGGCGGAAAAAAAAACTCTCGATGGTAGAGCGGGGCCGCCCGCCACAGGAAGGGCTGCTTGCGGAACAGGACGCTGTGCAGGCTGGCCAAGCCTTCCTCCGTGGGGTTGGCGGGCTTCAGGCTGTACTGCTTGCGGCCCTCGGAGCTGTGCCAGGGCTGGCGGGTGTTGTTCACCCCCCGGATGTAGTGAGTGCCTGGGGAAGAGGGATGGGAGCGAGCGCTATTGGCTGCAGCCACCAAAACCTTGACCCCTGCACCCCTGAATCACTGGGGTTGGCGCACCCATGGGTACCAGCCCCACTCTTGGCTGGAGATCCTGCTAGGGGACCTCTGCTTGCCCCACTGCCTTGGGTAGACAGAAAGCAGAGGCACATGGGTGCCTGACACCCCCTGTCCCACACACAGAGAAGGACCCGGCTGGCCTCAGCCCCTTCCGAAACCTGCCCGGCAGCATCCCTCCAGGATGGCTCCTACGGGTGGGTATCACCTTGCCCCGTGGTCCCCACAGCCCCCAGCCTAACAGCCAGAGGATGGTCACAGCACTCCCCCTGCCCTGCCCTTCGCCCACAGCCACCCCCTGCTGACCTATCTCGTGGCGCAGCATCCCCTCCAGCCAGTGCTGCCGGGCTCCAGCCAGGTTGATGGCCAGCGTGGGGCGGCTGTCCTCCACCATCATCACCGCCTGGGACAGGAGGTCGTCGGTCAGCTGCACCACCACCTACGGGAGAAGGAGGCAACTGCCATCAGCACTGCCACGGGAGGAGATGATCAGCCGGGTCTTGGCTCTAAGCAGAGGCTGAGATGGGGGCGGATGGTCAGAAACAGCCCCGGGCACCGTGGGCTGCACCATCACCGTCTTGTGCTGCAGCTCCCCAGACACCACGGCTAGCAGGAGGAGGCTGGGAGGCACGGCCAAGGCTGAGCAGGTGATGAAATATCTCCCTTATCTCTTTGCAGCCACCAAACCTGAGCGAGCACCGTGGGGGGAGCGGTCAGCTCCTGGGCAGCCTCCTCCAGCATCCCTCTGGCTCCAGCACCCCCCCTGCCCAGCCCACTCCCATGGGCTCCCAACATTTCAGTGGCCACAGGAGATGGGCATCCTGGTGAGACCTGCCCACTCCAACTCCTGCATCCCCACTAGACACAGGATGGCGCAGTAAACTCAGTCATCAAACCGACCCTGCTCTAAACAACCAACAGCACACACTTCGTTATGGGTCCAACCTCTAGACTCCCTCAAAACAAACCTCCCACAAGGGACCCAAGGTTCTGGCTCTATTATCATGAACTCCTGCGGATTCTCCCTTTGGAAACTCCAAGACACAAGCAGCAAGGACGGATCCACGCCAGCCCACCCTCCCAGCAGGAACCGTGCATGCTGGCCACGACTCACAGCAGGGACAGGCAACGCGTGCGCAGGGTGAGTGAATATACAGAAAAAACAGCTATTTTGGGAAAGCTGGCCACTGCAAGTGCTGGAGCAGAGAGCTGCTCTACATTAACATGAGTTAACATGCTGGCCAAGCAGCATTTTCTGATCATTAGGCTTCAGACCTGCAGTGATTTGAAGCCAGAGCATCCCCGGAGCTACTGCATGTGAGGTTC